TATATTATATATATATATGTATACTATTCTTAGTTGCATCCAGTTGTGAGGTCATAAATTTCCCTAAATTATTTTTATGTAAGAGCTAAATATTGAGCCTCACTTGTACATTAATTTTTATTAATCATCTTTTTGAAGCAAGTTAAATATCCACGAATCCCCTGCGAAAGTAATAATTACTTTCTTCTTACTTAAAACTTTTTATTAGAGTAATATATGCATGTATACAGATTATAGTATATAGCAGAATATCTAAATTTAACATGTCATAGGTATTTCTTTCCTAATATGCTTCTCTAACTCTATTTCTTAATGAATAATCACATTGTTAAGTGAAGTCTCCAAATAAAACAAAAACTAGGAATTATCTATCACTCATATACCTCAAATTTACTGAATTTATTTTATTTCCTTTAATGTCAGAATTGTACCCTGAATTATATATTATTTGTATTAATGCTATATTTCCAAGTACGAAATAAAATCAGCAGATGATTTAAGTTCTGTATTTTATATGAGAAAAAAGTCCATTAAATTAATTTTAAATTATGATATAAATTAATGGGGTATTTGGAAATTTAGAAACACAGTGAGCTCATTAATAATGAGAAGAAAGCCAAAAGTATTAAATACTGAATAATAAGGTAAAACAAGTTAAATAAAATGCCTGAGACCAAGATTTACTACCAAGATTGGCTGAGACCAAGATTGGCAGCTTATGTACAAAACTGATTATAATAGTTTATAATAGTCATGTCTGGATGGTAGACCTAAAAGTAACTTTCTTAAATTTCATTTTCCTCTCTCTCTCTCTCTCTCTCTCTCTCTCTCTATGTTATGAATTTATGGCCTTTAAACTAAGCCACATCCTAGCTTCTTTCATTTATTTTTTGAGACTTCAGATCCCATTAAATTGGCTAAATTGGCCATGCTGCGCTTGAATTTGTGATCCTCCTGCCTCACTCTCACAGAGAGCTAGGCTTGTCTGCCTTGTGACTTCTTGTTTTTGGATGTTTCTGTATTTCTCCAAACTTTCATATTATTGCATAATAAGAAAAGAAAGACTCTTTAAAATTTTATTCCATCCACAGAACAACATATAATAAGATTAACCATGAACCTATGTCTCCAAAATAATCACTCATAGTGTCTAGTTTATTTTCTCTTACAATTTTCTTGTATTTTTACATAGTTAAGACGTTAATGAAGTCCATTGTACTCCCTTTAACTTTTGTTCAATTTCTCTTAAAATTGTTTTATCAACACTTTCCTATTACGGATTATGATGTATACATTCTTGCATCTAGGAATTAAACAGTTTTATATTGAAACTATACAAGAGCAGCAAATGCCACGATTACTTGTGAATACCTCAAAGATCACATGACACTTCAGCAAAAGACAATGGGCAGGAATGAAGAGAGGCCCTGAATATAGAAGTCTTCATTCAATTTAGTGACAAAGATGCTACAACTCTTCTTTATTTTTTGTACTAGACCAACATTGAAGTCTGTAGTCCTGATACAGTTGTATAACCCAGAAAATCAGAAGACAGAGTCTTGAAAATTGACTAATAAAGTAAAAATTGATTTTTATTCATAATATTACAGCATGCTGTTTTTTAGTGTATCAGCAGTATAATTTACATTTGTATGAGTTGTAGAAAGCATGGCTCTAGTGATGGGCTTTTGATATTCCCGTACCACACAGCAGGGCTCAGTGTCACAGTAATTAAAGATGTATTCCCAGGTGTTGCATTCAGACTTGCAAGCACCGCGAACAAGGTAACATTCTCGTTTTCTCTCTGCAGCTTCTCTTGTTTTTTTCTGTGGAACTAGGAAAAGGTACCTATGATTATAAATCCAAGTTGAATCCAAATAGAGAAATAAAGTTGTTTATAGTACAGAGTTTAAAATTTTTGCTTCTGAAATCATTCCTAGGCAACTGTATTGAAGACATTTGCCCCTATATGTCGGTACAATATACATATTTATTTTACAACAATATTTCCTTTGGCGCTAACATGTTTTGCAAGTAACACATTCTTAAATGTTTAATTTGTGTATGATTCTTTAAGAGTAAGAGAAAAAGACATGGTATGAATAGTCTATTTTTGAATAACCATCAACTTCCAGTTCCTCCCTCTTCCTACCAGTTAGTTACTGGACTAGTTGTAAAAAGCTTAATTTTGTCAAGAGCTACAAAATTAGTGCTTGAAAAGGAATTTGAAAGAAAAGACAGATGGAATCATCTAAAGAGGGATAGCCTTGTCCCACAAACCAACAAAATAAATAGGTCTAAAAATTTTCCCATTGTTTTCTCAATGTTCCATTTTCATTTTTTTTCCATTAAAAAAGAATGACTGGTCTTATAAGGAGCCCATAGAGAGTCTCCAATTAATTATATTTTGTTAAACTAAGGAATTTTAAAAAAATTTGTTCCTCCACCTCTTTTTCATATTACAAACATTACCTGATGGACCACAAGACACACTGAAGACAAAGATTGAGATAATATGAATTATCTTCATTGCTGCTGCAGTTATTTGAATGAAGTTGAAACAGACAGAGCTCAAAATGCCTTTGGGACTAGAAAGATGGACTCCTGTTTTTATAGTGTCCTCGATGTGATTGCATTCTGATTAATTCTGCCTTTCTAGATTGAGCACACATTCATGTAAGTATTGTGAAATAGCAAAGAAATATAATAGGAAATGTGCTTCTCTTATGACCTCAATGAGTCAACCACAAACTCATATTCAAACAATGAATTTAAGGCATTCTGTTAATAATTAATTAATAGCACTTAATTCACATTATGCATGTTCACAGCCATACAATTTCTTGGGAATTTGTTATGTGCTAGGCACCGGTCCAAGCATTTAAATGGATTAACTAATTTAATCCTCATGAAAAAATCTATAACATAGAAATTTTTATTGTCCAATTGAAGAAACTGGCACAGAGAAATTATTTCCTTGCCTCTATATTATGAGTGTCATCACTGGTGATGCTGTTTGAATCTGAAATAATTCAACGATAAATCAAATATGTGAAAATTGATCTATAATTGATCTGTAATTAAAACATGAGTAGAAAGATTTTGGCCCATGTTTGTAAACTTAGAGCTGCATGTTAAATTCCAGAAAGACATATTCTCACAACTTTATGATTTGTGTTGTAACTTCTTTCTCTCTCCCTGAGGAAAACAAATGACTAGGCTATCAGTAGTCTGAGTTTAAAGATCATGAATGTAGTCCTCTTGTTACTTATCTGCATCAGTCCTCACAAAAATGTTTGTAGTCAAACCATAAAAAAGTCATTTCCTCAATCTCCTCTAAGTAAAATATCAAAAAAATCCTTAAAAATTGGAGGTTTATTAAGACTAATTATATCTAAGCATAGTATAATAGCAAGCTATATTATACAATTAAAAACAGAGAGATCAGACATTATCGTAGTGATGAAATTAATAATAAAATGGCCCAGGATGTAAGGGCCAAGTTTTACTGTCTGTGTTTATTCATCTGCCTAAATTAAACCAATTCTATTAAATTGGTATATCAGCTAAACTCTTACACAGTACACAGTGTCTTCTGTGTCTGATTGAAGGTGACTAGTGGCTTCTGAACAGAGATCAGATCCCAGTTACCCAAGTAGGTAAATAACTAAAACAAAATTGGATAATGATTACTTTTTTAAAAAAAAAAATTTCTTACACTGGTTATCTTAGGTCTTACTTGGAAAGAGATCCAGATTGTAGATTTCCGCTAATCAAATCTACACTTTTTTTTTGAGTGAAAAAGAGATAAAATTAAGAAAATAGGTTGGGAATGAGTCTATGGGTGTCATTATGGAGAAAAAGAAGAGGAGCTATGGAGAGAAGGGAAGTAGAGAATTTGCCTGATATATAAGAATGAATTGGGGAGGTGGATGAACGTTCATATTTCTACCTAGTTCAATCAAAATTGTATAAATTGAGAATAAGAGCAAATGTTTTAACTTCCTTTATATGAAGTGAGGTGATTGAAACTAACAACTGTGTAGTTTGGAAGTAGAGGTAAGGACTTTGTCAGAAGTTAATATTTGCTACAAAACAGTTCATAGGATTCAAAGGAATTTTGCTGGAAAGTGCCCACTCCAGGAGCACTTCTGGGTAAGATATGGACATTGAGACCATAAAGAACATGATATACAGAAGAGACGTTCATAATAAAACATGAAATCCAGTGAAATATTCTTAGAGGAGTTGCCATTTTAATTTGAAACTTTCATTCTGTAGAGTTTCTTGCTGAAGTCTTGATTTGCAGAACAGGCACCAGACCTCAGCTTTCACATTCCAGCAATGATGATATGAAGTAACACTAAGCTCTGCTTGCATTACACAAACGTGATGCCTGCTCCATTCTTAGTTTTTCACTGCCAGATACTGCATAATGTAAAGCACTCTCCCTAAAAGTCATATTGCTTATTTCAGTTAGCAAGTGTGCTTTAAAAATAAAAGGTATAAATAATAAATAAAGCCCATTTTCCCATCAGTTGGAAACTGGACAAACAAAATGTAGTTTTTCTATGAAATGGAATATTACTCAGCCATAAAGAATGAGAAATTAGATTCATTCATAGGAAAATGGACATATATTGAGGATATATGCCTAAGTGAAATAAATAAGTCACACGTGTAAATACTGAATAGTTTCTCTGGTGTGAAAAACTATAACAGTACATAAGATCCTAATGGTATAATTGACAATGTGAAATAAGAAGAAAAGGGCTAACAGTGTAGGGAAAGTGGGAAGGGTAGGGGATAGGTAATAAAGGAAAAGAAAAAAAATGAGAAAATGAAAAAATGGAAATAAAGTGTTTGTAAATGGGAGGGCAGGAGGGGGAGAAGGGAGGTCAGGGACAAGGGGAAAAATGAGAACCAAGACCGGTTATGTAAAGGTACAAGATCCCAATGATGACTGTAACTGTACTTTATACTTAAAATGTGCCAATAAACTCAATTAAAGCTGAAAAAAAATGTGCCAATAAACTCAATAAGGAAAAAAAAAACCAATAAATAAATAAAAGGTGATTCCATGCTTAGAGACCACAGTTATCAAAATCAGTGGTACTCTGAATTTAATGATTTTTAGAAACAAGTAAAGTAGTTAAGAAACAAAGTACAAAGCCTGAGCAACATCCCTGAATAACCTTGTTATTCACAAGTGTGGTTCACAAAATTGAATTTTTAAATACCGATACCCTCTCCCAATTTTTCTGATCTTTACTCAGATCTGATATCACCTGTGTCTCTATTGGGTGTGAATTTATCTGCATTCAACTTTCCACATAAGTCTCAAACAAGAAGTGATGCCTGGGATGTAGAAGGAAGCATGTTCTTCTCACCAAGGCAAAGAAAACATGAATATAGACTGATCTATGTGAGGTGGCCATTTGACTATTGTATGCCCAGTATCCCCAAGGCTGTATATGGGCCAGAGGCAAGGTACATTTCCTTTCTAAAAATCGGATTTCCTTGGGTTACTGAGAATAAAATTAAACACTTCCCATAGATTAAGTTTAAATTATGTAAGGTCAGGAGTTGACCAGATCTATACCAATGCTTTTTGCCTCAAATTTATAATCTACATATTTGGATCACACTTACAGTTGTAGAAAAGCCATAAGCCAGAGTTCTGTCAGAACCAGGTATCCTTTGATATCACCTCATGCTTCATATGTGTGTGTGCTTGTTTATTAAACAAGAAGAAAAGCCTGGAAGGGTGAGGGAGGGAGGAAGGGAGGAAAGGAAAGAGATTAATTGATGTATAATGCATCCTTACGAGTCACAAAAACAGTGCTTCCAGAAATATCAGTCACTTAAAATGCAGATTTTAGGTGAGACAGAACAGACAGAAATTTCATGTCTTAAGTTTCCTGGGGTGTAAATGCTGCTGGCCTGGGAAGCAAGCACAGAAGCAGTTTGAGTAGGGAGTGAGACTCTTACCTGGTAACAGTGTCCTACTGCCCTCTCTGCCTCACTATATAGGGGAAGGACCCTCCCACCCCATGTGCAGATAAAAACTGTAAGTGCATCATTACCATGAAATTTTTTTCTTTCAACAGTCTTCAATATATACTTTTGCTGTTGTTGATGTTGGGATAAAAGGCAGACAGACGTAAATATATGGTTTTTTGTTACCCTGTTTGAATGAAGTTCTGCAGTTAGCATATCTTTTAGTCACTTAAGTAGGACTTCAGAGAATGCTTAACAAGGATGTGCATAAGTGAACAAATACTACCAGTATAAATAAAGCTGAGTGATTTAAATTTAGGGTTAGATTTCATGTTAAAGTTAAAATTTTAAAAATTAACGAAAAAGGAGTACTGTGTTTTTTGTACTCCGAGCACCAATAAGCACTCCTTTCAACCTCTCTTAGCCTTCATATTACTAGTCACTTCTTTGACAAGTTTTCACTGAAGGAATCATGGATTCTTTCTCAGTATGGCTTGCGCAGCTCTGTTGACTTGTGTCATACATAGTAATGTGGAAGGAAATTCCTAGGTCCCCTTCCAAAATTTTCAAGTAAAAATTTTAGTTACTATGATATGCTTATTTGAAGAATTATGACAATAAGGATAGCAATCTCCATATCTTGTGGGGTTTTTTTTGTACAGAAAAAATGATTATATATATGAAGCTCTCCAAAGTTTATAATGAGAGACATATTCATATTTATTTATATGTCACCTATATAGTGCATGGCTTAGTTCATGAAATCAGTCCCGACCTCTCCTCCCTCCCTCACTCCCTCCCTCC